TCTAACAGATTAAAGGGAGAGCGATGCTGTCCGACCTGGCGACGCGCCAGGGCGCACCACTCAGGTCGGCATCGCTCTACAGGATGAACTTGCTGAGGTCGGCGTTCTGGGCCAGCACGCCGACGCGCTCGCGCACCTGTTCGGCGGTCACGGTCACGGTCTCGCCAGTGCGGTCGGTGGCGGTGAAGGAGAGCTCCTCGAGTAGCTTTTCCATCACGGTCTGCAGCCGGCGCGCGCCGATATTCTCGACCGAGGCGTTGATCTCGGCGGCCAGGTCGGCCAGGGCGTCGATCGCCGCCTCCTCGAAGGCCAGGGTGACCCCCTCGGTGGCCATCAGCGCCTCGTACTGGCGGATCAGCGAGTTCTCCGGCTCGGTCAGGATGCGCTTGAAGTCGTCNNGCCTGCAGCTCGACCCGGATCGGCAGGCGGCCCTGCAGCTCGGGCAGCATGTCGCTGGGCTTGGCGATGTGGAAGGCGCCGGAGGCGACGAAGAGGATGTGGTCGGTCTGCACCTGGCCGTGCTTGGTCGCCACGGTGGTCCCCTCGATCAGCGGCAGCAGGTCGCGCTGCACGCCCTCGCGGCTGACGTCGGCGCCACCGCGGCTGTCGCTGCGCGCGGTGATCTTGTCGATCTCGTCGAGGAAGACGATGCCGTTGTTCTCGACGGCGCGGATCGCCTCCTCGGTCACCCGCTCCTGGTCGATCAGCTTGTCGGACTCCTCGGCCATCAACGGCTCGTAGGCCTCGGAGACCTTCAGGCGCTTGGTCTGGGTGCGCCCGCCGAAGGCCTTCCCGAAGATGTCGCCCAGGTTGATCATGCCCATCTGGGCGCCGGGCATGCCGGGGATGTCCATGGTCGGGAGCTGCATGCCGCCGGTGTCCTGAAGCTGCAGCTCCACCTCGGCGTCGCCCAGCTCGCCGTCGCGCAGCCGGCGGCGGAAGGACTCGCGGGTCTCGGGCCGCGCGTTGGGCCCGGCCAGGGAGTCGATGATGCGGTTCTCGGCGTTCAGCTCGGCTTTGGCGGTGACCTCGCGGCGCAGCCGCGCGCGGGTCATGTGGATGGCGATCTCGACCAGATCGCGCACGATCGACTCCACGTCGCGGCCGACGTAGCCGACCTCGGTGAACTTGGTCGC